ACGCAAGTAAAGCAGTTATATTTGTAAATTTTACTGTACAAGGACTGTCCAGAACTTTAAGCTTTAATTATTAAAATGTGTAGTTCCATATTAATTTAATTATAATAAAGTAGACTACCTATAGTAGTCCTTTTTACAGTAGATGTTGCCGTCCCTCGCGAAGCAAGTGATCTCTCCATCCAGGGTGTTCTAAAAAATGTATAAGAAAAATTTTAACGTTTAAAGGTTATAATTGACGTAAGATATTTGACGTTTCTCTCAGTCCATAGGCGTCCACAAACAATTTTTTGGGGGCAGGCAACCCGAAAAGCGCCGTCCTTAACGTGTTAAAGTTCTGGACAGTCCTTGTGCAGTAAAATTTACAAATATAACTACTTTACTTGCGTCTTTCAAAAGTTCTAAATTCTGATATAAATGGAATAGTCAAAAATATATAATTATGTAAGTAATGTCAAAGTGAACTTGTACTGTAAAAATTGAAGATCTAGTTCTATCAATTTCTGTCGTCTAAGATATTTGAGTACTTGTTAAAACTTGGAAAGCTTTAGGGATTTAAAAGATGTGTGACGTGGATGAAAGTCTGCATGTATTTTCGGGAAGTTCGAAGGTGGTCATTCCTTCGATCGATCAATCAGAATTGGAGAGTGGACCCCCCAAGGGGGACTTGGGATCCCCGAACGGACAGCGAACACGCGCCATCCTTCAGAGGACCTCTGGAGCGACGACGGACCCCATCGGGTCCTAGCTCTCTCTCTCTCGCTCTCTTTCTTTCACAGACACAGAAAACTTTCTCTCCCTCTCTCCCTCTCTGTCTTTATGTCTGTGTCTCTCATATCTCTTCGTCCCTCTCATACAACTGTCAATATACCTCACACAGCCGACTTGTATCTCGGATCTATTGTGTGCTGACATGAAAATTCGAGCGGCGGCAATTTATCCCGGCCGATAAGTCTCTCTGCCGGAGGTAAATGGCCAAGTCGTGACCATTAGCTGACCGGCCCGGTTGGGTAATGCACGCTGATGTATGAGCTCCGCGCAACCACTAGATGTTGGTAATTGATTCGCTTGCGCAATTTTCCACCGACGACGACGAAGGACCGTGGTGCACCTATCCTTATCCTATTCCCGCAAGGAAACGCACGACAATCCTTCCGAAGACTTTTCCATACCCTCATACCACTCTCGGTCATCCCCTCGAAGTTGAGCATCTGAAACGAAAGTTGGTTTTGAGCGCGCCGATCCGATATTTCGAATTATGTAAATAAAACGTTTTCGATTTCGTCCTGCCGATACGGCCATAATAACAGAGCCGGTACTCTCTTCCCATCCCATAGAGTACACTAGCAAGCACACTATATATATATATATCATCCACGATCGTTCGTCGCGATCCAAAAATTTTTGGTTGACCTCTCTTCCCTTCTCTTCTGTTCTCTCCTCATCATCGATTCTTCTCTCGCTCTCACCACTCGTGCTTCGCTTATTGCCATTTTCTATTAGACGAAGATGCGCGCCGCAGATACTTAACGACAAACCAATAATTTTCTTCAATTACACATCCGACCGAGCAGACCATTAAATTTAATTCCAGAAAAGCCCCATCATCGCTTCTCCGTCCACCATCATACTTAAGATTACAATAAACCTTACACCGAAAGTTTTCTACTACGCCCCGAGTCTTCTAATACCGCGAACAATAATCATTTCATCAGGAAGCAACATTTATATTTACCAAATCGAAACTACAAATCTACATCCTATATAATTATACATTTAATATAATCCAATTTTATAATATAAACACCAGATTTTATATTATTAACTTCAATTATTATATGTTTTAATAATGGTGAATGGTGTTAGGAAACGGTTTAGTCTGTCATATTGAGGCGCCGCTTGGCAGAAGGTTCTTAAAAACTGTAACTAACGCAATTAAAAGCACTGTTATCCAGTTTCTGTGCGCTTGATGCAGTCGGGATTTTTGGTGAGAGGAGAGAATGGAAGGCACTTAACACCGTTTGGCGATGCTCGCCGTATTTGTGTAACTAATTACACTGGTGAGGCCGAAAAGTGCGGCGCGCTCCTCGGTGAGCATAATGAAGAAAAGAATAATGAAGAAGATGATGATGATGATGATGGTGGAAATAATAATAATACTGTGGGCATACGTGCGCCCCGACTGCCAGATGTCGTTTCGTGTTTTACCGTTCGAGGCTTCATCTCAGGAGGAAAAGCAGCAGGAGGAGGTGAAGAACGGCGGAAGAGCTGGTGGGCATATTATGTAATTGATAATACCATCGGCAATGTCCGAGTTAATTAGTTAATTAAATGGTTTTGGAAAAAAAAAGCAACCGTGGAGGCCACCATTGTTAACCTAATGATTAATATTTGCGCGTTGATTAATCGCTTAATAACAACGCCCGGCGCCCTGTTATTGATGGTCGATCGTTTACCATTTAAACGGACGACCATCCATCTTCTTCACGAAAAAATCCACATTTACACCGATTGATTGCGTAACTCTCTGTCCATGCACCTGAATATATAGGTCATATTGTTGTGTCTTCCTTCTTTGCCAGTTATCTTTTAAATTATCCTTCAATAACAAAGTGATTTTTACAGAAAGTTGCTCTATGGAATAACTCTAAATACTAATTAGCATAAATTATTGATGAAAATGTATTTCGTTGGAAATTGGAAACAAAATATTGATGGAAAAATGTTTCTTTATGAAGAGTAAAATTATTGGATGGAAATGTATGTCTTTTGAAACATAAACATTATTAGTTGATATTTCATTAATTCTAAAGAGTAAAAATATGTAGTGAAAATGAAATGCGGAAGAGGGGACAAGGACGAAAGGACCCATGAGTCTGTGGAGTGTGTATGTGTGTGGTCACTCCCCCATCGAACCACGACCACTCTTCGCGGAAATCATCGGCCATCACACATACCGCATCCAACAACAATGGTTGATCCATTCGGAGACAAATCAGACCCAACCGGCAGCAGCAGCAGTCGCAAACAAGAAGAGCAGTAGCAGCAGCAGCACTGTAATAATTAAGTCCTCGCGTCGCAAATTGTCGGATAGGAAAAAAAAATAAAAATGACACGATAATCTCCACCTAATTTCCACTTCCTGAGTTCTACTCAACACGCGATGTTGTTTGTTGTTGGCAATGGTAATAATCGCCAGGTGAAAATTAAAATTAGAAGAAGCAGTGGGAATGTTGGAAATAAACGAGACGAAACAGATGATGAAAAAAAAATTAAATAAAAATAATAAAAGAAAGGACAACGAAGAGCTGTCAGGAGGTCGGCTTCCAGATTGTCCGGCGCAGATACTTTATGATCTTGACAAAGTTATTATGACTATATAAATTTATACACAGTTAGTGTCCGTGTGTATGTGTATAATATACCTGAGAGTTGGCCGCGAGCGTTTATTTATATGGGAACTTTAATTTTTCACAGCGTGCTCCTTGTGTTCTTTTTTTGTCTCTCTTGATCTCCAGAATCCTGCGGCTCTCGGTGGCATTGTGAAACTCCTCTCCGCAGGAATGGAACTGGAAAGGAGCAGTAGTTATCTAGTAGTAGTCGTATCGAATGACAAAAGGAATAAATAACAAGAACGAAACTCCCCAGCGCGCTGATACATGTGACATATTTATTAACCGACATATGTTGCTTACAACAGAAGAAACTAAAGAAGAAACAAGGCAAACGGAAATTTTAATCGACGGGGTAAAAAAAAATATATGAAGACTTTGGATGAAGAAAACAACTACGATAATAAAAAAAAGTAGTAGTAATAATAATAGTAGGAGGAATACACGTTGAAGCATATGGTGTTTCCAAAAAAAAATGCTCTTTTAATGACACCGCAAACGCACACCTTCGAGTTACGCTTTAATCTGGAAGGAGAAGAAGAAGTAGAAAATAAAAAGGGTGATACAAAAAACAGCGCGTTAAGTGCGTTATAAAAAGGCCATTTGTCATTACGGCCGCCTGTCAAACTAATGACTTCATTTAATTTCGTGTGTATACCTACACCTACGGATAAAAAGGTCGTGAATGGATGCAGACCGATGGAATTGTCACACAATTGAGTAAAGCGTGTGTTTGTGTGTGTGTGTATGTATACGTTATTCACATGTACGTGTGGAAGTATGTGTGCGTGGAGAGCGCGCAATAATGAAAAGCGTCGACCGGACGTTATGGCAACTTTAACATAACAATCACCTGTAACGTATACTTAGGGGCCTGTGTGAAACAGGCACGGAATCAAACGTAAAACAACGAATTACCTAACTAAATAAGCATTAACCACGGCTGGCCACTCTTCGATTCTATAATCAGCAAGCATAAACTACAGCTCTTTAGCTTATTTAACAGTTTTGTTTTTACTCACTTTTTACTAAATCTAATAAAAAGACGACAGTTACACACATACACACATTTGTATGCAAGTATTTCATCATAATAAACGAGTGTGCAAACTTTGCAAATTACCTTTACGTGTGCAAGTCAAATTTTACACAAGAAGTTTTTCAATTTGGTTTTAATCAAATTACTGAAAATACCGAATTATAAAAAAAATAATATATTAGACTATTTAATAATCAGTAAAAACAATAAAAGAATGGACCTCACTGTCAAACGTTTCGCATTCCATTCAATCGGAGGAAACCGGAGAGAAAGATGAACGATCATTTCTTGGCTGCGATCCATTCTTCAAAGAGTCTCTCTTTTTTAAAAAAGACATTTTTTTTTTATGTTGAAACCACTTTCCCCATTGATTCCCAAATGAATTCAATGTGAAATGTCGTTAAAATATCATGATAAAAATGCAATGAAACAAACTTTGACAACATGAATTATTATTGTATTTGATCCTCTGTTATAGTGCGGTAATATCAGTATAATATAACAATGCATTAAAAGTTTTTGTTTGTATAGAAACTAGAAAATTGTTGAATTCATACATATTTGATGTAAAAATAATATTTTAATTAAAAAAAAAAACAATTCTGATTCATTGAATTTTGTTAATTAAAAATTAAAATTTTATATGATAATGATAACAATAATATATTTTTATTCTTAAGAAATCAAAAAGTGCTAAAGTCATAAAAATCGTATTTTTTTTTTCAAAAATTCTGAATAAAACATGTTATTATTTACATGGATGCATTACATTTGGGTTTAAATGAATTTTAACGTATTTTACAAGGAATTCGTTGGATTTAATTTTTCTAATAAAAACGGCTTCAATTCTTTTCATTACTGAGAAACTAACAAACACATTTTTTTTTTCTTAATGAATATTCATCTTAAATTACAATCTACAAGGAAT